CCCTTCCTGCCCTTGCTGTGCTCTGGGGCTGGTGTGGTCAGACAGGACAGAGCCTGGTGTTGTGCAGCCTATAGCATAATGGGGTCCAGCCCTGCCTTCCACGGTGCTTCCAGAAGGAGCAGGCTCCATATGTATTTTGTTTACATTCAACACATTTGTTGTACAGCAGCACCTGCAGGCAGCCCACCAAGACTGGGGCCATGTTGTACTAGACACTTTCCAAGCATGGGTAGTCCCTGCCAGGAGAAATCACAGGGCAAAGAGAGGGGACATCTCCCCAGGATGCAGGGGGGACTGAACATGCTGCCAACATCATGTAAACTGGAGCCAGAGCTGGGGTCTGTGGGCATCAAGGAGCAGGGCACTGCCACCCCATTGGCATCTTCTCTAGGAGGAAGGACACATCTGTTCCAGGGTGGAGTGTGATGATTGAACAAAAATATTATTTCAGGGGAATTGTGATGTTTTTGAGCAGTGGTACATTATCCAAAACCTGCTGGGGTCTGCAGGAGAGGCTGTGTAGGACTGGGTGGCTGCAGGCAGGTGGCTGGACCATGGAGGAAAACCCCCTCTGGGTCCTTATGGCTCAGGGCCACCATGACAAACCTGCACCGGGTCAGGTGGGAGCTGCAGGTGGAGGGAAGGGGCTCCAGGGTCCCACACCTTGGCCTCTGTGCCCCACATCACTGCAGCACCAGGTGCTCTGGCCCTGCACTGTGCTGGGACCTGTACAGGGTGCTCTGCTGGAGGGTGGGTAGGGGTGCAAGGAAATGGGGCGGCCTGGAGGGAAATGAGGGGGACCTTTGATGTGCAGGTACAGGGGTGCTGGGTGTGGAAGGACAGGGGGCTTGGCAGTGGTCACTGCCTTTCTGTCCATCCAGCTGTACTGTTCATTAGTGTGCTTTATTTCTCACTTGCTGAGGGACAGGTGGGTGCAGCCCCACAGCCGTGCTGGGCTGCCAAGTGTCATCTGTGTCTGTGTTTGCAGAGGCAGGGGGAGATGCTGGTTCTCCTGGCCTTTCCCTGTGCCAGGTGTTCCTGAGGCACACGTGGAGCTACTTGATACCATGAACTTCAGCTTGATGGGTTTGTTACTTGGGCTTTGGGCAGGCAAGGTGCACAAAGATCTTGATTTAAAGGTGTTTTCATTTTGAAAGATGAGCTTTGAGGGAGTTGTGTGTCTCAGGCTTCTTTTGAGTAGCACAGAGAGGGTTTTATTTTTCAGGGACCTTTTTTTTTTTTCTATAAACGAAAGGGCTTTCAGTTGTGTCTTTATTCCAAAAGTGAGGAATGAAACTGAGTTGCTAAAAGCAATGGGCTTCGTAAGTCACTAAGGTGTTGTGGCAGGTAGCTCTGACTTATGCTGCTTTGGAGTAGTTCTGGAGTGACTTCAGAGACATGATTAGGAACTGCTGGCAGGGACATGAGTCTGGTCTCAGGGTGTGGGTGAGGAGCACAGAGGGGGTTCCCTGGCTCAGAACCCTCCCTGAAGATGATGATTGGTGCTGGACCCAGCACAACCTCCTGTGCATCCATTCCACCCTGGCATGCTGCAAACTGTCACTGTGCACAGGGTGGCTGAGGGAAAACTGACAGGAAAACACCCCCTGGAGATGAGTGGGCTGCAGGGTAAGCAGAGGCCCCATCACGGGCACATGCCCGCAAGCCCTGGTGGGCAGCAGGCGGGATGCCAGTCCAACAGCACAGTGTTCCCAGTGATGTTTGGGGAGCACCAGCTCTGGCAAACATCTGGGATCCCCACCGGTGCTGTTCCCAGCACCCCACAGCCTGCATGTGGCCAGCACAGTCCCCAGCCAGCTCCTGTCACCATCCCATGCCATTCCTGTTGCAGCCTCCCTGGCAGTGCCTGGAGCTGCAGACACTGACCCCCCTCTGTGCCCTACGGTGCTGGGGTACAATGGGCAGAGAGGCTCCCGAGTCCTTGCCTCCCCTGGTTGTGAAACGGAGGATCCGTGGCTCCAGTGCTGTCATCACCAGGCACAAGTCAACATTATATTAAAAAAAAAAAAAAGAAAAAAAGAAAAAAGAAGTAAAAACAATACAAAAAAAAGAGGACAAACTAATCGCACACAGTTGCTGGGTTTTGGGGTTGGGTTGTGTTTCCCCCCCCCTTCCCCAAACCAGAGCCTGTGAATGTGGTGAGACAGGGATAATGCAGCTCCAGAACTATCAAAGTTACCAAAAAAGCAGCTGTTACAGATAGGATGTTAGAACAGCCTATAGCAGGGGTAATTAACAACAAAAAAAAAAGTTTGAAAAGCTCAACATCATTAATGTCAGAATTGCAGGCAGCTGTAATTGAATACAGTGGTAATTGGACATTGCAGCTTGTGTTTGTGACTCCTGGCCGGCCATGGACGTTAGCATTCCCTTAATCCTCTGCCATCCAAGGGGGCTCTTCTCTCCCCTGCTGTGTGTCCTGCTTCCTGCACTGCATCCTGATGTGCCAGAGCTTGGAGAGGTGCCCGAGCGGCTCATTAGCAATACTCATTTCCCTGTGTCCAAGATTAATGAGGCGCAGCCACTCCAGATGCTCATCTTGGGCCATGATGGAAATGTGAGTCCCAGGAACTGGGAAGGGAAGGAGCAGCTCTCAGCCAGGGGGCTGGCAGGGGCAGACAGGGATTTCTGTTCTTGGCCCACCTGGAAGCAGATGCTGTGCCCTGATGATTAAGATGTGAGTGAGGTCCCTGCAGGGGCAGGTGAAGGAATTGGGGAGGAGGGTTTTGGACAAGTTCTTGGTGGGGGTCTGGTCAGAGAGAGCAGCAAGCCTGGCAGGATGCTCATGGACCACCCTGCCACCACATTGTAGGATCACAGAACTCCAGGCTGGAAGGGACCTCAGAGATTAGCTGGTCCAACCTTTCTTGGCAAGAGCCTGTTGAGGACCCATGGCCTCAGCAGCAGCAAAGAGGAGGAGGAGACTCATGATGGCAGAGCCTGGTGACTCCCAAGATGAACTCCTAACATGCTCCTGGGTCTCCTTCCTTGCGGGCAGAGAGGAACTCAGTTGGGCACAGAAGTGCCTGCCAAAAAGTGCCTGCCTCCACTCTGACTGCTGCTGGATTGGATGTGTGAGCAGAAAAATAGCTGTTTGGAACCGAATTAATTCTGTTTCTTTTAAAAGTCTTTTGTGACCAGGTATTTTGGCACACCTGAAAAATTCAGATGCAGGTAAGGTGGCAGATCCACCTCCTCCTCACATAGAGGTTGGGTGGCTGAACTTGGCCCCTTTCCTAGGCAGCAAAACTCCTGGTGCTTTATCAGAGTCATCTAGCCAGTCCTCTGAGCTAAAAATGCAGAAAGAGGGCACCAAAATAGAGCTATTTGGAGTTCAGGTCACTTGTATTTACTTGGCCAGGCTGGAGATCAGCCAAAATCAAAACAAAGAATGGCAGAAACGCTGATTGCAACTGAACTTGTGTTCCAAAGAAACCATGAAGGCAGGGATGGAGAACAGGGAGTGCTGGGGAGCCTCCTGTTCTGGCTGTGGGGCTGGACTGCGTGTTGCTGCAGCCCAGTGCTGGAGCTGGGACAGTGCAGGTGACAGCCACAGGGACCCGGTGTGGCATCCCTGGGAGCCATGGAAGGACCTGGGGTGATTAAAGGTTTGAGAGGGAGACAGGCAGGAAATGTGAGAGAGTAAATCAGCCAAGCCTGCCCAAGCTGTGACTAAACGAGGAGCGTGATACATCTGCAAATACTAGAAATGTGTAAACACAGAGGAGGGTGAGGGGTGGTTGGTGGAATGATTGAAGGGAGTGAACTTTTGGATGGAAGAATGTAGGTCAAGTAGGAAGGAAAACTTGTAGGCAGCAAGATGAGTGTTTTCCACAGTGAAACAACCTCCTCCGGAAAGGCAAGGGATTCCCATGGGTGGAGAGGTCTAATGCTAAGCCAGGTGAGGGCCTGAAGGACAGGTGGAGTGGGAAAGATGGACTCAGAGGGCCCTGCCTGGTCCTTCCCCCTGCACCCTGGGGGATGGCAAGGCCAGGGACACTGGCAGCACCCACTGGGTTCAGTGCCTGCTGGGTTTGTACACAGGTTTGAGCACTTGGCCATTCCTCACCCATCTGTGCATGGAGGGCTGGGTGCTGAGGTCTGCTGTTGCACGTGCTGTCACTCAGCAGCTGCAGCAGAATTGCTGTGAGCAGATGCAGCCCTGCCAGCTGTACATCACCAACAAGCTTCACCTCTATGCTCTTTGTTGCTCCTTACCCTGGAGCACTGGGGCACACGTGTGAGGCAGAGACCTAAACGGCAGGGCACTGCTGGTGCTGTGACTGGCAGACCTGTCGCATGGGAAAAGTCCAAATGATGCATCACAAAAAAGTGAGGGGCAAGTTTTTGGTATCTTAATACTTGTTTAAATTTGTCAGCTGTTTGTGGTGTAGTTAACGCATCCAGTTTTCAATCCTGGAGACTTCATGACTTGGGGGAAGGATCCATCTCGCCCAGCTTCAGGCATTGAAAATTCCACCAGCTGCTCTCCAGGAGCTGTCAGAAATCCTGGGCAGGGAAGAAGAGCAGCCCCTCCAGCCCCTCAATGCTGGCTGCTCAGGGTGCTTTGGGGACATGTGTTGTCCTCTCTCTCTTGTCTGTAAAGGCAGCCCAGATAACAAACTCTATGATCTCTAGTACAGATGTTGACCTCTCAGTATGTCCCTGCCAGAGGCATCCCCAGGTTTCAGGGGGTTGGAGCTGTCACACGGGGTGTCTGTGCAGCTTCAGGCTCTTGGAGGCAGGGACCTCTCCGTTCGCTCCAGATTACACGCCTGTAAATAACAGTGTCATGTTGAAGCAGGGACTTGCCAAGTCCTCAGGCCAAAGTAAGGATGTGTCCCATCTGGCTAGGTCCTGGACAGTCAGTGGAAGGTTTGAAGCCTGTTTTATACCTGCTGGTTTTCTGTCCCATTTATTGCCACTGTCACTGAGATGTCTGACCCTCCTTTACATCCCATTGAGGTCCCATGAGCGCAATGATAGATGTTTTCATGAAGGTGAAAAGCTCATCACTCTGGTGGAGTGTCATGAGCCATCCACCAAGGGGTCCTTCTGTGTCCTCCTCGCTGCCCCACCATTCCCATGCTCCTGACATGGTCCCCAGGGGAGCAGAGGCTGGTGGGGGTCAACATGCATTGGGCTGGGGTTGTGGCATCTCTGCATGTTTGCCCTGCCCATCTCCCCGTCTCGTCCTTGGCCCTGGTGGAACCAGCTCAGGCAGATGCAGATACAGACCTTGAGGCTCTCCCTCCCACTTGTGTCCTTCCATCCTGATTGCAGGGTCAAACCCTTCTCTGGACCTGTTCTGCTTTCTCAAAGTTCTGAACGTGGAACAGCCCAGGGAGAAAAAGCAGGACAACAGCTGGATTTCCCATATCCCAGCTGAAAGCCTTGACCACAGAGCTATTGGCTGCTCTGAAGGACTTGCTCCCTGTATTGTGTCCTGGTCCCAATCAGACTTTTTGCCATTAAAGTTTCACCAAAATTCACATGCTTCTGTGAAAATCCTGCTTTTCATGATTTGGCATTTTCCAGGAGAAAAGAAAAACCAAAAAACCATAAAAAGAAAAAAAGAAACTAAAATGACTTGCCAAGAATTTCCCAACCAGCTTTAATTCTTAGACACTGCCATGATCCAAACAAACGATGATAAGGATCTATGGAAACATGGGGAAACAAAGAAGTGATGTTTTTAAAGCCTCCAGAAAATCAAAAAGCAGCTGGAAGGAGGAACAGGGGGTTTTCTCCAAGCACGCCGAGGAGGGAAATTCATTCCCTTTGAATCACAGGGAGTCCTTTCTAGTTGGTTTCAAAGGAAGTTGGATGTGGTCTTTAACATGACCTTATCTCTGTTGCTGGTGCCGAGATACATTCAGAGATGAGCTGGAAGTGCCAAGGAGGGTGCTGCTCTTCCCAGCGGTGCCCTGGGTTTCTTGCAGCCTGAGGCCATGAGAGACGAGATCTCCCTCCCTTTTCCAGCCAGTGAAGACAAACAATTTCCACCCGTGCCTGATGCTTGGAAGATAAAGAGGGATGCAGGAGCTACAGTCTTAACTGAAGCCATCTGGGCTGTGCCCAGCCAGCTGGGAAGGGCACAAGCAACCCCAGGGTGGATGGGAGAGCTGGGTTTGGCCAAAGAAGGTTCGCTGGGTCTGCTGCAGATGGAAGCTGTATGGTCGGTGGTGGCAGGGCTTGTGGCACAGCCTTGTAGCTGCTGGTGAACCCCTAGTTTGCTTTTCCTTCTGAGAATCTTGCCAAGCACAGGTCTAACCTGTGGAAAGGTGAGCGGAGCACACAGGGGTATCTGTGGTGCCGTTTGGTACGTTTGAGTGTCAAAACATCCCTGTACATTGAAGATGTTGTCCCAGGGTGTCTCCATGTGAGCCACAGTGATGGTTTCCTATGAGTTGGGAATGTTCTTCAGAACCAGGTAGATGAGTGGGGAGGGTGTTACTGGGTGGCAGAGGGATGAGCCTGAGGCTGCAGCGCTGCACATGCTGCATCACAGCGGATCCCTGCTGGCTTCTGGCCAGCAAGCTTTTCCAGCAGGCAAGCAACTTTTGGAAATGGCCAATGAAGGCCCATGGTCTGCTTTGCTGTCTCATGGTGGCTTCAATATGCACCAGGAGAGGTTCAGATTGGGTATTAGGACAAATTTCTTTGCTGAAAGAGTGGTCAGGCCCTGGAACAGGCTGCCTAAAGCAGTGGTGGAGTCACCATCCCTGGAGGTGTTAAACAGACATGGACATAGCACTTTGGGAAATGCTCTAGTGGGCATGGTGGGGTTGAGTTGATGGTTGGACTTGATGATCCTAAGGTCTTTCCCGACCTTAATGATTCTGTTGTTCCATGTTCAGAGCCAGTGAGGACCACAGTGCTTTAGAGGAACTGTGAACCCCTGCCCTGCCCTGGGGAGCAGTGGGGTGTTTTGGTGGGGAGGCAGATGCTCTGGGATGGGTGATAAGTGGTGCTGGAATTTTTCCTGTGATGGACCAAGCTTTCAGACCACTGGTGTCAGCAGAGTCACTGTGGTCTGTCTCAGTGCCTGTCTGTAGGGGAAGTTAGTCCATGTGCTTAATAAGCATATATTTTTGTGGTGGATTTAGTTCCTTAGGTGCGTTCCACACTCCCAACACCTCAGCAGTTTATTTTAGCTGGTGGGTGAGCTTGTGCACTGACAGCCAGTTCCCACATCAGCTGAGCTCTCCCTTCCCCTTTCACCCCGTCTCTCTGTGATGCTTCGGCTGCCCCGGGCGTTTGGGGAGGTGACATGTCCCTTTTGGTGGCTTTCCTTAGGCTGTCTACAAGGCCTGGCTTTGCTCCGAGTATTTCAACGTGACCCAACAACAGTGCCGACACCGGATCCCATGCAAGCAATACTGCCTGGAGGTGCAGACCAGGTGCCCGTTTGTGTTACCGGACAATGACGAGCTGATCTATGGAGGTTTGCCTGGCTTCATCTGTACGGGTAAGGAGGTCTGGGGAGCAGGACCACAGGAGGATTGGGTAGGGGTGGGTGCTGAGGAGCCCTGTTGGGCTTTGCAAGCCGTGTGTTAGATTTTGAAGGCTCTTTAGGGTGAAGAGGGAGGAGATGCAGTGTGGAAACATGTGAGGTGCTGCTGGAGTGTGGCTGCTTGGGGGTGAGGTGTGGTTAACAGAGACCCACGGTTTAGGGCAGGAAATGGCATCCCAGCTTCTGAGGCTGAAGGTGATGGGGTTAACACAGGGCCAGGGCATTTAACTGCTACAAGCAGCTTTTGGGGGTGTCCTGAACACGTTCCAGGGCTGCAATCTATGCCTGCAGGGTCACAGCCCCACTGGGGGCCAGTCCTGGAGGATTTCTGAGTGTTCCAGGGGGTCTCCATTTGTCCTGGTACTCAGGCTTTGCCAGTCCTGTGGCATGTGGCTGGCAGGCACTGGGGCTCACCCCCACTGCGGCTCCATCCACAGTCTCCAGCTGATTCCTTCTTCCTCCTCTGTCTTCCCACAGGGTTGCTGGAGAACCAGCTGCCCAGTGAGGAGGCCAAGTGCTGCGAGGTGCAATGGGACTCCTGTGACCACCCCCCAGACAGCAACGACGACACATCCCTTAAATCCACAGCGTCCGAGTCCCTCCATTTCCACCGCCACGACCCCCACCTCCATCACCAGCGCCAGAACCACTACCACCTCTACCACCACCATCATCACCACCAGTACCACCAGCCCCACTCCACATCCTTGCTGCCGGTCTCCGCAGGGTCTCGCCTTGGCAGCAGCAGGATCAGACTGTGCGTGCTGGTCCTGATGCTTCTCCACACCATGGTGTCCTTCTCGAGCGTGCACGGCGGCGGCGGGGCAGCCAGCGGAGGGCTCAGCCTGGAGGCTCTGCCCGCCCTGGAGGAGAGCGTGGCACGGGACGAGTGACACGGAGGGGAAAGCTGACCTCCAAAGAAGAACGCCAGATCTTTTTTTCCACGAAGGGGGGCACATGCTATTCCTCCAATGGGAGGCACGGGACTGGGGGTGACGCGCACACACACACCCCCGCACATACCCCCCCAGAGCTGCTCGCCGCGGGGCATCCCCGTGATGAAGAGTCTCTAACGCGCACAGGGCTGCGGGACTCGGCTTTGAGAAGGGTTCGGTCAGTAGCAGCTGGGCAGCAGGAAGGTAGGGCACGGGGGTGTGGGGAGTGGAAGGGAGGGGAGGGGGGTCCCTTTGGAAGAGGTGTCCGCCCCAGGAACGCCATCCATCCACCTGCCGCGAGTGCCTTGCGCGCCCGCACCACGCCAAGGGTGTGACTGTCAGCAAAGCTCTTGTTTCTTTCCCTCCTCTGTCCATAAATCCCAATGGGCCAGGAAGGCAGGGAGGCAGCACCTCCCAGCACGGCCTTGTCCTTCCCCCCTCCCTCCTGTCCCAGGGGAAAAACCCACCAGCTCAAGGCAGAGCCGTCCCCATGGAGCACAGTGGCCTCGGTGCAGCGTTCCCCTCTGCACGTCCCCTGGCAGGGTGTGGGGAGGGGACAGGACAGAGTTACACTGGTTCTGCTTGGGATTTGTCTTGTTATGTCCCCAGCCTGCTCCTCCAGCCTTGCTTCTCCTGCTCCTCTGTGCAAGGAGGTGGAGAGGGAGGGAGGAAGCACAGAGCAGGAGGGCCATCTCTAGCATTCCCACATCCCACTTTGCCAAGTGTCCTGCTGATTTGGGTTAACTTTTTTTTTTTGCCTTCTTTCCTGGCTGGAGTGGCTGGGCTTCAAAAGGAGTGAGGGAAATGTGTCTCCAGCAGTGCACAAGCTGAGTGGGGGAGAGGGATGCTTCATGGATGCATCCGAAGGCCTCCTTCCATGCTTCCCAGCTCCAAATCATTGACTGGATAGCAAAAGGGCTGGAAAAATCTGGCTTGTAGGGAGAGTCTCCCTTACAAAGAAGAAGCACTGATAAAGCTGGAGAAGAGAGTTTTTGGGAGTACTTTGTATCCACAAATGCTCCCCAGATCAGAAAATGTCTAGGAGCCCAGCTGGGAAAGCTGGACTTGGCCAGGCAAGGTGCTGGCTGGTGCAGCCTCAGTTGGCTCACTTACTGTTTTTAACCTGAGCTCAGCATAACCAGAAATTCAGCCCCAAACAGACATCAGATCCTGCTTTCCCAAGAAACTCCCAAGATTTCCACTCCCCCACCAGAAACTTCCCGGCAGGAATACTGGTGCATGGGGGACGGTGCTGTGCAGTTCCTGCTGGGGAAGGAGGAGGGTGCGTTTTAGCACGAGTCAGCTGCAAAATGTCCTGGTCACCACAGGGATGTGAACCTGCTCGTTGCCTGCAGAGGGTGTCTGATGGTTCCTGTTTCTAGGCTGCCTCTTGATGGGGGGAAGGGCCCAAGATGGATCACTGCAGCCCTGCTGGGAGACAGGGATGTAGCAGGAGGAATGTCCTGCTGCATCTCACAGAGTCCCAGATCCCTGCCAGGGTCCAAGAAGTCACAGAGTTAAGGTCTGTAAGAGTTTTGTGGTTACTGGTCTGTTGAGGTGAAGCAAAATGAAGCAGAGTCCCATGAGCAAAGCTACTTCCTACCTGGCTGGAAGAAGGAAGTACCAGGCATCTCATGGGAAGGACAGGGTTCTTGACATTTCCAGCCCATTTCCAGACCAAAGAGGCTCTGAGAAGCAGCTGAATGTTTCATTTCTGCTTTGACTTGAATCTCAGAACTTTGGGGTGATGTTTACATGTTCTCAGTTGCCTGTTACCAAAGCCCCACAGATTCCAAGCCTATGAACCCGCTGTCCCTCAGTTGCCGGGCTAGGAGAGGTGATGTTCCTGGAGGATGCAGAAGAGTTTTTCCAGCAGATTTCCTTGCTGTAACTACACAGGAAAGGCAGGACCTTTCTCGTTTGACTGTTCCTCACAGCATCCATAGATTTTCAGGCTACTTTACACCACTCTTGAGAACTCAGACATGCAATAGTCCAGCAAATGGGGATCCGGCTCCTCTGGAATGAGCTGTGTGGCTGCTTTAGTGACTGGGAAAATCATTCAGGCAGAGCTAGGGAGGAAGTACAGTCCTGTGCCTGCCTTGAGACATCCACATCCAGCTCCTTCTTAAGGAAATTAGATTTTTCATGTACTGCCAATAGTTAAGCTAATTCCAGGCGCCTCTCTCAGAGATAGGCTGCATCCAATCTTCCAACAACTCATCTAAAGAGAGAATAGCCCAGTGTGGTGCGTCAGCGAGTGGCCCTGAGTCACTGGCCCTGCTCATTGTCTGCTGAGACACTGAGCAGTGCCCCAGCCTGTGCCAGCGTGGTGCTGTGGGCTCACTCCTCCACAGCATCTGTGTCTGTGTGACTCCAGAGGCTGTTCTTGAGGGGTTTGTGCCCTTCTGCTCACCTTGAAGGTCTTCTGCTCCAGCAGCGACCAGAGCGATGGACCCACGTGGTGGTGTCAGTCCAGGCTCAGGTGGTTTTCTGATGGCACTGAGGTTTGGTGGTGGGTGATTTCTGCAGAGCTACAGAAGTGAGGTCAAGTTATCCACAGGGATGGCTGGCAGGGGTTTTCTGGGATAACCTGGGAGCTGTGACAAAGGTCTTCACCTTCCATGGCATCATCTCAGGAGGCAAGGAGTCTGTGCTAAATCCCAGTGAGTCCAAAAGCTGGACCGTCTCAAACCCAGAGTCCTTAGTGTGGTTCCTGAGGTGTAGCTGTGCCAGCCCTATTGGCCTGGAGTGAGGAGGCTCCACAGGGCAGCTGTGCCAGAGCAGGAGGAGGTGGGCACGTTTTCCATGCAGTGGCTCCCCGGGAAGTGCACCCCTGAGGCTGAGGTGGCAGGGGGCGGGCAGGGGCGCGGGGCTGGGCTTTTACCTAGTGTGACTGGAAGGAAAGTGCTGAGTCTTCACAGAGCAGGGCTTTTGGAAGGAGTTCTTTTATTTAGTGAGTCTGGGCTGCTGTCAATAAGTTCTGTGGTTTTAGGGCACCATATGCTGTATTCAACACTTTGCCAATCTCGTTAAATGAATCCAGACCAGGCTGTTCACAGAGCAGGAGGAGCAGCTGGAAGCAGTGTATGTCGCAGTCCATCATTACCAGGCCGTCGGATAAAAATCTCCTCTTTGGTCTGACATTGCAACCTTAATCATCCTCCATCCCTATTAGCTTTCTCTGTGCTCTACAAGAGGAAAGTCCAGAAAGGAGATGTTAACGTGGTCTCACTTCATGCCACTGACGTTGTTGAAACATGGATATGAAGGTGCCTGGGGTGAGGCGAGGAAGGGTGAAGCTTTGCCCTGCATGTGCAGGTGTCCCTCAACCCAAGCCCCTCTTGTGTCCAGCAGACCAGAAAACCTTTGCAGAGCTGCATCCCTTCAGCCACCTGGGACCTTGGAAAACACCAAGATTTATCCTACTAGGAATATAAACCTGAGGTGCTTTTGCCTTTTCAGTCTTAACGATCTTATGTCTTATCCCCGAAGAAGGTGCCACATGTAGGGATTAATAACTAAACCCCAACCTTTCCCCCAGTGGATAAACTTCTCTCCTCTGGGAGAAAAATGCCCATCAGGAAGGGATGATTCTTCCCTGGCAAGGCTGAGGGAGCTGAGGGGTGATGTTGTCCCATGGGGTCTGGAGGCAAAAGAGGGTAGAGCAGCTGGGGCTGTGGGAGGAAAGGTAGCCAGGTCCTGCCCGGCTGGAGTGTTAGTCCTGGGTTTTGCACTTTAATGTAACTGCCAGTTGTACAAATTAATTAAAAATAACTGAAGAAAAATCCCAAAGAAAGGCCCTGCTTCCTCTGGTGAAGATTAATCATTAGTTGAGTCTTTTTCTTATGAAAATACAGATCCATGGTAGCCCCAGGCAAAAGATTCCCAGGGAGAGCCCTCACCATTCGTGCTCTGAGTTAGGGAAATCGCTTTGAAAGCATCTGACAACTAAAGCAGAACATGTTGAGTAACTTGGCAACACTCAGAAAACATCTTGAAATGGTTTTTGTTCAACACATTTTGCTTTGCTTCAATAGGAGATGTCAGGGCAGTTCATTCACTGCCACTCAGGACTGCAGGCGATGCTGGGAGGCGGCTCCTCTGCCCGTGTTTAAAAAAAGAAAAGGAGAGAATCCCTGATATCTGCTGATCCCGGGGCAGGATCCTCCTTGGTGATGGGATGGAGCTTCCCATAGCCATGGGCAGCTCTCCCCACATGGCGTTGGCAGGGGAGGTGGGTGATTCCCAGCATGGAGCAGGGCCATTGGCACAGCCGGTGGGACAGGGTCTGCTGGAGAGGACACTGCCTTCTGCTCAGCCTTGGGATTGAAGGCTCTGCCCCCAGAAAGTCATGCAGAGGCTTGTGATAAATCATAATATGATACCTCACTCCCACCCCGGAAAGGAATGCCTATAGGAATTGGTAGGGACAAAATCAGGACAGAGACATACTTGCATTCTCTGAAAATCCCTATTAAAATCCATGTGACATGCCAGACAAATTTGTTTATAGACTTTAAGCTGCCCTGTGGATATAAATCTCTCTTAAATTCTCCTTCAAAGGTTGGGAAGGGCAGTGTCTTAATGTTTAGGCAGGACATTAATAACCATCTACTTCAGCCCATCAGTCAGCGTCAGTTCTTGGGCATCCCAGTGGGGGGTGACGTTATGAAACCGCCTCATCACCCCAGAGGAGCCTGTTCAGGGCTCCTGGACCAGGGCAGCTCATGGGGCTGCACAGGTCCAGCCACATTGAGTTGGGTTTCAGGATTGAAGGTTTTCAAGCAGCTCTTTTTGGGTGTTCTTTGCCCACGTGACTCTTTTTGGGTGTTGTTGGTTCATGCAGCTCTGTAGGTGACTGCTTCCAGCCCTGTGCAGGTAGGGGAAGCCTGTTCCACTTGTCCTCCACGTGCTAGCTGGGAGATGGGACCTGAATACTGAAAATTCCAGGGGTTTACACCCTTCCTGCAGCCCTGAGCTCTAGCTCAACCAACCAAGCCAGCACCAACCCATGGCTGAGCAGAGAAGAGCATCCTCCCAAAAACTGGGCTCCCAAAACCAGGGTTGGCTTCACCATTCCCTGTGGATGTCCCAGCCATGGTGGGTGCTCATCCCACTGGGCCAGGGGGAAGGAAGGGATTCACCTCCACCTTGGGCCCCTGCCAGGGAGGCAACAACAGCTCCAGGGCACTTTTCAAACAGCCCTGCAGTTCATTCTGGGATGGAGGGAGCAAAGGAAATCCCTTGGCTATACATGAAGGATAAATCATTTTCAAATAAGGATCATCAAAAGTACATCATTCCTTTTCAAAGCTGGGATTTTCTCAAGGTTCCCACAGCCCCTGCTGGCAGGGCAGGAGCTGGGCTGCGTTACCAAACACGGTTCCTCCAGCTTCACAGGCTGTGTGTCTACAACTCCTGTTTGAAACAAGGTCAGGAGTGGTTTCCAGACTCGTTAGCATTTTATGAAGATCCTTTTTCAGCCCAGGCAGTCGACGGCTTCGCTTGTTGTAAACTGGAACTCGACAACAACAGAAGAAATAGGTTTGGCTTATGAAATTTGGGGTTGGCTTTACCATTTTTCAATGTATTTGGGAACTGTACATGCTTGAGTTGCAAAACAAAAAGACATTTCAAGCCAGACAGTTGTGTGTTTTGGTTTTTTTTTTATTTTGAAACTTGTCAAAACAAGCCATATTGATCATTGTGACCAATTTTATTTTTTTTTTCAATTTGAGAAATGTATCAAGAACAGCCCTTTCCCACAAAAACCTTTCATTTAAAAAAAAAAAAAAAAAAAAGAAATAAAAAAAAAAATCAATCACACTTTTTCTGCTTGCACAGTTGGAACTGGTGGCAGTGGATTCAGAGAGAATAGCAATTTGTAAGGAATTCCAACCAGCTCAACTTAAAATAGCATCCAGCCAATTTCTTGGGGGCAGGAGGCTGAGCTGCTCCATGGTGAAAGCAAACTGGAGAGCTGCTGTTCTGACCAGGATGGTTCCAACCCAGGATAACACACCTTGGGGACCACGTAGGCATGTTCCCCTTGGGAATTGGCTGCTGAGGTACCTCTTCTTCTCCATCCCTCTAACCAAGCTCTGTCTTCTTTTCCAAACCAACATGAATCCAGCTTCTTCTCGCCTTCGACACGCTCACACGTGGCGGTTGCGGGGTGCCTTGGAAACTGGAGATGCTTCTGTGTGTTCATGGGAGCTTAAATTGGGAAGAAATTCAACGGGCTGGTCCGGCAGGGATGGCAAAACACGAGAGAAGCAAATGTCATGGTTCAGCAAGAACGGGTAGTGGAGAGAGCCCCAAGGACATGGTCCTTTCCCTCTTGCCCGTCACCGTTCCAAGAGCGGGAGGTGCCGTTCCCGGTGGCCACAGTGAGATCTCTCTGCCCCTCTGCTGGTGGGGGGTCCCAGTGGGGCAGGGGGACCTCAGCAGGGACCGGGACAGCCCCCTGAGATGGCTTTGCCTGGGTGTGGGACCAGGCTGCTTGTGACCGAACCCTTCTCAAACGCTTGTGACATGTGGGTGGTTACAGAGCTCAGACCTACAACAAAAGGTTCTTTTCCAGCACGTGGTGGCGAGGTGAAAAAAAAAGCAAAGCATACTGCTGAAGTCAAAATATTCTTTCTAAACCCCCTGCCCAGTTTCTCTTTCTTCCTGCTTTCTTCCTCTGCCTCCTGGACCCTCCCTCTTGTTCCCACCCCCCTTCTGTTTCTCTTTCTCCCCTCTGTCATAAGAAAGTGACTGTGTCCTCGAGGGGACAGTTTTCTTATGCCATTTTATACACTGTGCTTCATGTTTAGAACTTTTTTGCACTAGTTCCTATTACATTTATTTTCCAAGATGGTTTGACAAAAAACAAACAAAAAAAAAAACCCAACAAAAACACAAACCCATGCTATAATTCAGTTGTATTAAAAATATTATCCTACTACTCTCTGTGTTCAATAGTCTCTGTACCTGTAATGCTTTCAGTTCTGTTGTATTTTGGGGCAGAGGTTTTCTCAGCTCCTTGTTTAACCCAGTAAAGAAATAAAATGTTAAGAATTGATGATAACTTCCTCCTCCCTTTCTCGGCGGTTTCATTTGGGCCATGCAGGTCCTGGCCAGGGAGACATGGTCAGACCCACCAGAACCTGCCCTGCAAGCTCCCTCTCTCTGTCTGATGGGTGTTTTTTTTTTCCTGCAAAATCCAATCTCAGATGGAGGACAGAAGAGGCAGAATGGAGGGACAATAACCCTGCCTTACTGAATTTGATTTCGTAACCTTTCTTTATATTCTTTTGTTTCTTGCCTTCACATTTCTTGCCATGGGGCTCACCTCAGAACAATAGGGGCGAAGACTGTCACCAAGAGATTCATCAGAGAATAATGACTAAACCAGGGTATCCAAATTTTGCCCAGCTGAAGTCCACACCCACATATAATCTGGAATTAATTCATCTGGACAACAGATCTCGGCATGCAACAGAGCAAGGACACTCCGCTCCAAATTGAGAGCTGCATGCCAGGCTGTGAAAGGCCATGGCACAAAACTCTGCAGTCCCACTTTGGCCATTCCTACCCCCAGCTGAAAAGTCAGTTTGGAAAGGAGACAAGAAAAAGAGAGGGGGAAAAAAATACAAAGAGAAAAAAAAAAAACCAACAAACTGAACTAGGAAAGAAATTGGAGTGAGATTGAAGTAATAGTTTTCAAAGCAGAGTGGAACAGGAGGCGGGTGAGAAGGGGAAGGTGCTGGAGGCATCAGCTCAGCTCTGACTCCAGGGCTGGGATGGGTGCAGGAAGGGAGACACGGAGAGCCCGGACAGGGAGTTTGGGGGCTGCAGTGGCACTGCCTGAGGTGCTTGGTGAGTGAGTGAGTAGCAGGATGTACCAGGGCTGTGATTGAAGCGTTTTCTGGCCTTGAGTGAGGTTCTCGTTCCTCTCTGCCCAACCCACATCGTCTACAAGAGACAGGTTTCCTCTGGGGCTCAGAGGGAAAAAAAACCACGTATTTACTGGAGCTCCTCAAAGAAAGGAGCTGGCCCAGGAGAGGGAGGCCGTGTGGGAAGGGCTGGGAGCCCAGGGCTCCTGCTCCACACCATCCCTGCTCCCTTCACCCGCAGGGACACTTGGTTCTTCTCTTTGTCCCATCCAATATCCACACTCAGCCCTTCAGCTGTGAAGTCCAAAGGATTCCTGGGCACCTTTTGTACACGTGGACCTGGGTGCACAAGTGTTTCTTCCTGGCCATTAGTGGCAGCAGATGTTTTGGTGCCTGAT